CAGCATTTTCCCCTCATTTCGGCCCTACTGAACTCGAAGTAACTGCTGTGACTTCTACCATGGAATTTGATTTGGAAAATTTTAACCCCTTTTCAAGGGACCATTTATGAATTTTATTGAGACAGATTTGTAACTGCTTCTCTATTGTATGCATATTTTTTCCACGTCAAGAAACATTAAAATCATCCACGAAAAGTGATCTATCTATTGAATCACTTAAAACCTTTGAAAGAATTTTTTTTAACACTAGAGTTACAGACAAAATACTGCCTTGTGGGACACCCTGATCCTGAAGATAATGATCAGACAGGGTAGAAATTGTCTGTAAATTAAGAACTTGGATATAAATTGAGGCAAATGGCCTCGCAATCCAGAATCATGTTAATCCTTTAAAATCCCATGTTTCCACATAGTGTCATACGCTTTTTCTAAATCTAAAAAGATAGACACTGTATGCTGGTTATTGATGATTGCATTTTTCACAAATGATTCGAGCCGAACCAAATAGTCAACAGTACTTCGATTCTTACGAAAGTCACACTGAATATTTGCAATTGAATTATTTGATTCCAAATGCCATGTTAATCCATTGTTGACCATGCGTTCCATTGTTTTGCAAACGCAACTGGTCAATGAAATGGGTCTATAATTTGAAGGATCACTGTGATCCCATCCAGGTTTCGGTATGGGTACATCTATGGCATCACGCCAGGAAGACGGAAACTTACCTGATGTCTATATATCAGCAAGAATTAACAAAAGGGTATTCTAAACAGGGTTCTGGTAAGTGCTTCAGGAGTTGATAGTATATTATCAGCTCCTGTAGCATTATACTGAGCTTGTCCAAGCGCAGTATGAAGTTCATGGATAGAAAAAAATTGATTATAATCTTTCCTATTATCTGGGTTAAACTTTATAGTTTTCTTTTCCTGCTGTTTTTGAAATTTTCGGAATTGAGGGACATAATTCGAGGAAGAAGAATGTTTTGCTACTGTTTCGCCTACTTTATTTGTGATATCCAATTTATTAGTTTACAGGTCATTCCTATTCTTAAGATGGTGGATGCTTCATTTAGAACCCTTACCTTTAATTTTCTGTATCATGTTCCATACCTTGGACATGGGCGTTTGTAAGTTTTTTTTCTTGAAAGATGATGTTGCCAAGATTGGCGTAAATTTTGTTTAAACGTATGGGATGGCGTCGGAAAGAGTGTTCAGCCTTTTCCCGTGCCTTCCTAGCTTGTTTGCAGTCATTGTTGAACCATGGTTTATGGATTTGTGGATTTGTAGAGGACTTAGGAATACATTCATCTGCTATTTTGTTTAATTCATGCGAAAATAATTGTACAGGATCAGTCGCGTCAATAAACAGATCAAGTTTCAATGTATTGAATGCAAGCATGGATTGTGCCCATTCAGATCACCCATAATAATACAGGGCTTGGGGAGTTGATCATACAGAGCGTGAAGTTCAGACTTGGAGAGAAGAAGATGGTGGAATATACAGCGAGCATAATGTAAAAACAATGTGCAAAGTTATACGGATTGCAACAGCCTGAAGGGGAGTAGTAAGGGGCTATGGATGACGCCGTCTTTCATTAGAATTGAAGAACCTCCAGTGGCTTTAGCACCAGGAGGTGAAAAGACATTGTAGGAGGCATAACCTCTAATATCTAATATGTCAGTTTCCTTATAATATGTTTCCTGTAAACATATGGCAGAGGGCTTTAAATCCTGTAGTAAGAGTAGTAACTCATTGTAATTATTCTTAAGTCCTCTACAGTTCCATTGAATTAAATTTTCATGGTGGCTCAATTGGTGATCTCTCACGTGAATGTGAGGAAGATAAACTCCTACCGCTACTGTCTGACGATGGAGTCACTTCCATGTCTAAAGCACTAAAGGAGTTGTTGAGAGACACTTCTGAAGAAGAAGGGGTGCTGGGTGAAAGATTTTTATTTAACTTATTAATTTTTTTTTTTTTTATAATATTCGGTCCAGAACATCTGGTTCTTTAGGAGAAGTCTGTGACGTAGTCTGTGTCTCTGCCTGAACACTAACGGGTGGAGATGCGGATTGACTGACAGATATATTAATGTTAGCGAAAACGCAGTTTCAACTGGTTAAGAGAAGTGACCCATGTCAAATTGGTCTGACATTGAACAGATGATGAGGTCGTATAGGCTTTGCCACAGCAGCAGAGTAATGCAGAGTTGAAGAAGATCTTGACTGAGTGACAAGCTTCCTGGCGTCTGCAAAAGATATGTTTTTTCACAGTTCATTTTCAGAATTTTGATTTTGGTCTGATGAATAGGGCAGGATTTGGAAGAGGCCATGTGTTGTCCATCACAGTTGGAGCACTTCCGGTCTAGACTACAGTCCGTATTCTTATGGTTGCCACCACAACGATGACAAACGATGGGGCGAGTACAAGTTTTTGAACCATGTCCAAACTCTTGACACTTGTAGCATTGGAGCGGATTGGGGACATACACCTCCACTCCGATGTTGACATATCCAGCTTTAATCAAATTTGGAATCGATGGCCGGTCAAAAGTGAACAGATATGTGTTCGTTTGAACAATATTTGATTTTTCATCCTTTCGGGTGAAACGTTTGACTGATTGGACGCCTTGATTTTGAAGTTCTGAAACAATGTCAGCTTCTGAAATATCCGACAGTGAACGTGTCCTGTCACGGACAATGCCACTGTAAGAGTTCAGAGTCCGGTGAGCAGAAACAACAACCATCACATTAGCAAACTGGGTAATTGATAATATCACATTCTACCAAAAGAGATCCACTGCGCAAACGTGTCACGTTTTTTACATCCCCCGCAATAGCCATGAACAGCTTTAGATATAGCGAAAGGGTTCAGTTTGATTGGTTCATGATCTGCAGCTTCCAACACAAGGAATCGAGCCGAGGAATCAATATGCGTATAAGTCTCAGACGAACTTGTATCTAGATGTCTTCATTATGAAAAACAAGAATAATTTTGAGCCATGGTAAGAAAATGACCCAGCAGCCCAGCTCCCCACCCACCATGGAGTGTCAACAAGAACAGTGTTAAATTGCATCGGATCTCCAGGATGCAAACACCAAGAAATTGGGTACATATTGCATTTGGAGGTCAACAACACCAGACTGGCCCGTGAGCCACCGCCTTCTGGCATAGGACTCTAGGCAAAAAATATATTATAACATTTTCATCAATAACATTCAATTACAGCATTCAAATAATTCAAAACAATTTTGACATGAATGTTTTACATACACAGGGCATGGCGTGACCAGCCGATTGATAGAACCGGGCCCATCTACCACCCGTCTAGGTGAAGTTAGGGTCAAAGTGGTGTGTTAGGCAAAAGGAACACTGGTTCCTGGCTCCAGTGTACCCAACCACCAGACTCCCTTCCTCCACCGACACAGGGGCACAACCCACGGCAAACAGGTTGCCCAATTCGGTCGCCTTTTACGACCAGCAATGGGGTGCTGTGGAAACATTCTGCCCTGGTTCCACACTGGGAAGAGCTATTAGCGCTACTCAGCACTCACCACGAGGAGGTTGCTTTTCGCAAGTGCCGCGAAATATATTTTACGCACAAGGCATGACATGATCAGCCGATTGTTAGAATTGGGCCAATTCTACCGCGTGGACTAAGGAGCACTATTGCCCTTCCTCTGCCGACCCAGGGCCGCAGCCCACGGCAAACAGACTGAACAATTTGGTCGCCTTTTACGAGCAGCAATGGGGTGCTGAGGAGACATTCTTGTTTATCTCCCCCGGGTCACCGTGGGGATCATTATCTAAGAAAGAACTCAGACTGCAAAGTATCTTTGTATGTAATATGGAAGCCTTCGAGCAATGTAAATACTGACATGATAGCTCCGTGTACTTTTCTCAAAACAAACTGGAAGGTACCAGGATAATCTGGATTAAGCCTACACAGTTTGTCTATTATCGTTTGAGCAGTATCTTTTCAAAGAGCTCACTGAGACATAATGTTAAAGTAATAATTCTATAATTTCGAGGATTAGCTTTCTCATTCTTCCCCTTATGGGATGGCATGACCATGCCAAGTCTATAATCATAAGGTACGCATTGCAGTATTATATGCTAAGTATACATAAGGATTCAATATTCTCCTGCATTAATCATATGTTCTTTTGCAATGTTATCACAACCTTGAGATTTATTACTGCTGAAAATTTGACGGCCTCTCTTGTCTTGAAATATTTTGCCAATTCCCCGTCAGGTTTCTCCCGTATCTGTTTAGATATCAGTACTTATATACATAATAATACAATAATAAATACCTCATCAAATCTTTCCGAATGGGGGGTCACGGGTGGCCCAGTCGTCTAAGGCACCACGATCCGCTGTGCAGAGTTGCGTCCCTTGGGCACCCCAGAAACCTATGATTGTGGGTTCGAATCCCGGTTCGCTCCAATAACGATTCTAGGTTTGTCAGCACCATACCCGTGCTCGTGGGTTTCAGCGAAGTGGTAAACGTCTGAGACCTGCATCACTTCGGGCTTTCCTCCCACATTAAGCTGACACGCAGCAATATAACTGGAATAGTGTTAAAAGCGGCGTTAAACCCAACTCACTACTTTCCGAATGGCAGTGTTTGGCTTAATCCGAAAAATATTGACCCCCATAAGCTGAAAATATCCGAGGTAGTCAAGTCACTTTCATCCTTAAGGGTGAGTATTTGTATATCGGTCGGTCGGTCGGTCGGCCGGCCACCCTCGTTGAAAAGAATTTATATCAAGTTCAGTTGACTCCTGCTTTGCATTTAATGACCAATGCATTGACTTTGTATAATAATAACAGACAAATGTTTATATTCCCTTACAGCAAAACAGGATCATACACAATACCAAACTCAGTCAAACACTAATCTGCTCGAAGCCTGCAAGACTGGAGACTTATGCCTAGTCAAATACTTACTATCCGAGGGTCGTGCATACATCAACACAAGAGGACAGAACGGAATGGCACCAGTGATGCTGGCAGCACAGAATGCTCATAGACAAGTGTTTGACTTTCTTGTGGGGCAAGGAGCCAATACGTCAATCTTGAGTAGAGCTGATATGAACATCCTTCATATGGCATGTGAAGGGGGAAATGATCCAATAGTGAAGCATGTCCTCCAACAGACCGTGACAGACATTAACAGTAGAAGACGGGATGGATCGACTGCTGTCATGCAAGCAGTGTTAAATGGTCACATAAATGTACTTAACTTGCTCGTGAGTAAAGGTGTTGATCTAACAATGTTTGATGATAAGGGTTCTACTCTTCTCGAAAAGGCCATTCAGGGAGGAAATACTGAGATAGTGAAATATGTATTCAATCAGACCAGGGTGGATATAAACAGGAAACACTGTGGGCTGACACCTGTAATGCATGCGGCATATTGTGGGAAGCTAGACGTTTTTATGTTCTTTGTGCAAAAAGGCGCTGATCTGTCAATAACAGATGAAAATCATGGAACAATCCTTCTCAAGGCATGTGATGGAGGAAATATTGACATAGTGAAGTATGTTCTCGAACAGAACATTGTTGAAATAAACAGCAAAGGAAAGGAAGACCTAACACCAGCAATGAAAGCAGCAAGAAGGGGTCATAGAGATATATTTGAGTTACTTGTGAAAAAAGGAGCTAATCTGGCCCTAAAGGATGAGTGGGACTTCAACATCCTTCACCATGCATGTGATGGAGGAAATGCGGATATAGTAAAGTATGTCTTCAAACAAAACAGCATAGACATCAATACCAAAAAAGAAGATGGAAGGACACCAGCAATGATGGCAGCATACAAGGGACACAAAGAAGTATTTGACTTACTCATCAGAAACGGAGCAGATATAACTGTGGACGTGGACATATTCGACAGCAACATCCTTCATTTGGCGTGTCAAGGCGGAAATGTGAATATAGTGAAGTATGTCCTCAAACAAAACAGCATAGACATCAATACCAAAGAAGAAGATGGAAGGACACCAGCAATGATGGCAGCAAAGAGTGGACATGGAGAAGTGCTTGACTTACTTATGAGGAAAGGAGCTAATCTAAGACTAGAAGATACGTACGACAACAACTTCCTATATTTTACCGTCAAAGGTCAACTTACTGAATTAGTGGAGTATGTCATCACCAAAAATATTGTGGACATCAACAGTAAAAATTATAAGGGCAATGCACCTGTGATGCTGGCAACAGAAAAGGGATTTGGAAAGGTGTTTGACTTGTTAGTTAGTAAAGATGCTAATCTAGGTATTGTAAATGCTGAACAGGAGAACATTCTTCATCTAGTCTTGGATCAAACGTGGAGATAGTGAAGTATATTCTTTCACAGAATATTGTGGATGACATAAACACAAGAACAAAGAATGGGAAGACTCCACTGATGATTGCAGCAGAAAGTCAAAACAGAAAATCATTTGATTTACTTCTGCTGAAAGGAGCAAGTCTGGCACTTGTGGATAACAATGACAACAACGTTCTTCATTTTGCCTCGGAAGGTGGAAAGTTGGAGATAGTGGAGTATATTGTCGCACAGAATATTGTAGATATTAACAGCAAAGGAGAGGAAGGACAGACGGCAGTAATGAAGGCGGCCTTGTCGGGAAATAGAGAAGTGTTTCACTTACTTGTGAAAAAAGGAGCAAATCTATCACTTGTGGATAATCACGGCAAAGGCATCCTTTTTGGGGCCTGTGATGGTGGTAATATAAACATTGTGAAATATGTCCTTTCACATGTGAAGGTAGATACTGCCGAAGAAAGAAGTGAAATGTGTAGGAAGCTTTCCTGCAGTATTGAATAATCTTTGTACAAAACAAAATATGGATATTAATGTACAGTTCTATGTACCCATCTAACTAAACTATCTTATAATAAACCTATCACAGCCTGTGAGTCAATAAAAATGTCCATGATGTTATATACGTTATATATGTTAAACATGTTGTAATTTTATTACACTGTTTCTGTTTAGAACAATGTGTTTAATCAAGAATTAGTTGGCAGGATGAGTCCGGTGAAATCTGTATGTTTGTTTATTTGTTGTTTAACGTAGCACTCAGCAATATCCGAGCTATATGACGGCAGTCTATACCAGACATATCAGTGATTGACATCACGAGCATCGAACCACGCAATTGGGACACGATGGCATGCATCAACCAATGTATCAGCGAGCCTGACCACCAGATCCCATTAGTCGCCTCTTCGGACAAGCATGGGTTGCTGAAGACCTATTCTAACCTGGACCTTAGACTATATAACTGGGTAAGGCATGCCTCTGCCATCTCACATTAAATCAAGACCTGCGGGGTTGTGTTTTTCACATTGGATATCCCAGCCTAGGCCTACTTTGTAAGCTTTACCACTGTCACTGCTAGGTGAATATTATTATCACTGACATTTTTGCTATTACCACTACTTTCTTTTGTACTGCCATTGTAATTGTACGCTATTGTGAACTGTCATTGTTTTTACCTTGCAGTAATTTGTATCAATTGTAAATCTAGTTAATTTTAAGATACAATTGTTAATTGTATACAATTTGTTGTTTGTTTGTTGTTTTCACACTGTATGCTTTTGCATATAGATTTCTGGGTTGGCTTATTGTTTCAATTTGGAAGTCTAGCTGTTACAAATATTGGGAGCTCGTTTGGAATCGAAATATGATATATCACATAATTATTGGCCAAAACAATTGGATTAACATTTTATTGTGTTTAGTTTTGATGGGTTTGTTAGACAACCTTCTTGGGAACAAGGGCCGGCAACAGTGCTCCTTAGTCCAACACACCACTTCGACCCTAACTTTGCCTAGATGGGCGGTAGAATGGGCCCGATTCTATAAATCAGCTGGTCATGTCATGCACTGTGCATAAACTATTTCGCACAAACTTTCTAAAAATGAATTTATTCTACATGTAAATTCTATATGTATGAATCTATTAACTTGCTTCATAGCCCTATGCCCAGAAGACGGTGGCTCATGGGCCAATCTGGTGATGCTGACCTCAGAATTCGGTACGTCTACAATTGATTGTCATTGGCCGAACCAGCCTGACCTTTAATTTGGTAGGTTGTTATAGCTTTTATTGTCCAATGTGCTCGCACGTTGCAGCTTAGAGATCCGCTGCAGCATAAGACACTCCAACGAACACACATAGATTCTGACCTCGTCTGTCGAGAATACATCCATTCGATCTGACTATTGGCCACGTTTTTTAGTAATTGAAGCATGTGACAAAGAACCAATCAAGCTAAATCATTTTGCAATCTCCAAAGGTATCGCTGGTATCTGCAGAAAGGTTTCAAATGTCACTAAACCTCGTTCCGGTTCTCTCCTTGTAGAGTGTGCAAAGAAACAGCAATCTGTCAAACTACTCAGCTTAAAAGAGTTTCGCAACAAGGTAGCTGTTTCCTAGCACAAGACACTGAACTCATGTAAGGGCATTGTCCGTGACAGAGCAAGCTGTCTGTCTGACATGACCGAAGATCAAATTGTCAAAGAACTTGTCTAACAGTCAGTCACAGCTGCGAAGCAGTTTGCTGTCAAGAAGAATCGTGTTGGTGAACCGACCAACACCCACCTCTTCACTCTCGCTCGTTCAATGATTCCACATTCGAGTAAAGCTGGTTTTCTAGCATTGGAGGGGACGTGTATATCCCCAATCCACTCCGGTGCTACACCTGCTAAGCGTTTGGACATGGATCCAAGTCCTGCCATGGCTCTGCTGTTTGTTACCACTGCAGTGACAAGCACGAGGCCACCGACCGGAGACAGGATGTGAAGTTTGCAAACTGTGGTGTGAACCATATGGCATCTTCCAAATCCTGCCCTGTGTGGCAACATGAATCACAGATCTTGAAAACAAAGACTGAACAAAACCTCTCATACTATGATGCTAAGAAGAGGGTTGTAGGTTCTACTGCAACTACTTCTTCTATCTCTTACTCTACTGCTGTCTCTCGTCCTCCTGTCAACAATGCTTCTATCCACTGCCAGACTGATTTGACATGGGTCAAGTCTGTCCAGCCACTTCCAACCGCTTCACTCCAAAACCCAGCTGTGACACCCCAAAACCAAAAACCGTAAAAAAGGGGAGTCAGCTTTTTGTCTCCAAGAAACATATCCAGAAAACACAGATCTATCTGATATCCGTCAGTACAGTTCTTACCACTCGTTTTCCCCTCCTGGTGATAAAGCTACAGGAGGTTCTTCTATCCTGGTGAAGCACGGCATAATCAACAGCCCTGTTCCAGTCAACACTACTCTACCACTCTTGCTGTCCGTGTTTACACATCCTCAACTATCCGTCAGGCAGACCTTCAGACTTTGTACGATCAGCTTCCGAAACCCTGTATCATCATGGGCGATGTAAACGGTCACAATCCCCAATGGGGGAGTACTGATGCAAATAATAAGGGAGTAAGCGAGTTAGTATGATTTTAGGCCGCTTTTAGCAATATCCCAGCAATATCACAGTGGGGGACACCAGAAATGGGTTTCACACATTGTACCCATGTCGGGAATCGAACCCTGGTCTGCGGCCTGACAAGTGAACGCTTTAACCACTAGGCTGCCCTGACATAATAAGGGAAAAGTCCTTGAAGATTTTTATCTCAAATAATGTTACCCTGTCTGGGGCTTGGCATTAGGGCTAAAACAAGGACTGATCGGCTCGGAGTCAGTATAGTGTGTCTGAGTGGGGTATTCATCTGGTATGGTATCTTAGTGGGCTAGCACTATCAATCAGCATCAGTCAGGACTAGTACAAGCAGCAACGCACACACACGTGCATGCACGTCCCTATATAAGTGCAATAATCTTTGACGCGATGTTTCACCTCACCTCACCTCTCACATAATTATTTATGCATCTACAGTGATGGCTCTGATACCTATCCTCATCCTGCCACTGGCACATATTCTGCCCTTGATCTTTCACTGACAGGTTTAAATATTTTAAACGAATTTGAATGGTCGGTCCATGATGACCTTTGTGGAAGTGACCATTTTCCAACAATACTTTTAACAAACTATTAATCCGACTGATGAACCACCTTCAACAAAGTGGAAGATACAAAGGCCAATTGGTCTTTATTCAAAACACTACGTACAGAAAAACTAAAACCTGACAGTTTCAGGAATTTTCCTGATCCCATACAACATTTTTCAGATCAATTAACTGATATCGGAGACGAAAGCATTCCTAAATCCTCTGCAAACCCGCATATACGTAAACCATGGTTTGATAATTATTGTTAACAAGCTAGGAAAAATAGGAAGAATGCCGAAAAATATTTCTGCCAACATCCAACTGTCCATGACTTGAATAATGATAAAATCACGAGCGCCAAAGCGAGACGTACCTTTAAATAGAATAAACGTAAATCCTGGAGGAACTATGTATCAATAATCAATTCCCACACACCCATGTCCAATTTCAGAGGTTTCAAAAACAGCAGGAAGATAAAAAAGGTAAATTGTAACTCTGATAATGGTGGGGTCTATAATGAAATATCTTCACTCCATGAATTACATACTGACACTGCAGCAGGAGCCGACAACATATACTCACACGCAAAAGAAACGCAAGTGGTTCTAAGCAAATAGGTGACAAACACGGAAACATAAATTGATACGAGTTTTAGCATGTAGTGAAGCCTGATGGTATTACAGCCTGATGTATCAATATTTTTGGTTGCATTTTGGAAGCCCCGAGTAAAAACGCAACATAAAAAACGAATCGCCAAAACGCACCATTTCAATGAATATGTGGGTATCATGCACCCATTTCTCGCGAAATCGAAATTGCACGAACTGTCACGAATTGTAGTGGGTGTAAAACTGTGGCCGATTCTTGGACCTACCACTCCTTAGTCAACAATGCCACGCCTAACTCAAATTTAGAGAAACCAGACCATCGGACGTTTGGAAGCTGGAGAGTCTTCCAAGATGTTGCCCATCATTTCAACGTTAACATAACCACAATTTACCGTCTCCTGCATCGACAGAATGCTACACAGGCCACAGTTGACCGTCCTAGGGTCACCACACCTCGACAAGATCGGCAGATTATCCGTCAACACCAGCGACATCCGTTCCTAACTGCAAGTGAAAGTGCTCGACAGACCATAGGAACACATAATCGACACATTAGCCGGGGCACTGTGATCCGACGTCTCCAGTCCAACAACCTCAGATGTCGCCGGCCAGCACGTCATCCTGTTCTCGAACCACGGCATCGACAAGCACGACATCAGTGGGCACACGGTCATCACAATTGGCGTCATCGTGAGTGGAGGCGTGTTAT